CTCCTGGTTGGATTGATTGCAGCCTTTCTTGGGTTTCTTGTAGAGATTTGTGTGTGGCGAAATAGACGTTAAAACAATCACAGAGCAGTTTTTCTTTTGTTTGTCACAAATTCAGATCGATTCCTTGGTTTTATTCTCATTTTTTTTACAGTTGTGTGATTTTTACAGGAATTCTTTGGTATGGCAAAACCGAAGAACATTCCTTATTTGATGAAATCAGATCGTCAGAAAACAAAGATCTTCTGGCGATGATGCGCAAATACGTGATTGACAGAGATTATGAGAATGAACTTAAGCACATAGCTTCACTGAGATTCGCCAAGTTTGTGCAGGTATAAAAAAAAGCTCCAAATATTCCACGGAGTTCTGCAATCAATTTCCCTTTTGCTCTATAGATTCTATCCAATAAATTCATCACTGGCACTGGTGAACTTGGCAATCATGCGTACTTCTTGCGTCGGATGAAAGAGTGTCTCTTCAATTACTACTCCGTGCTGTTCCTGGAGAAGGATTCGCCTTACACGGCATTCACAAGCTTCGCCGTGGACAGACACTTCGAGGCCGGAATGATTAGTCATTGGTTCATGAAGATGAACACAAACTATGGCAAAAGTCACATGAATTCATTCTTCGACGATGACATTTGGCCCTACGGAGATGCGCGTGAACTCGCGCTGGAAAACATCTTGGGAGCTTTCTATCTCTTAGCAATTGGTCTGACTTTGTCAGCTGTTGTATTCTTTCTGGAAATCTACAAGAAGATGGCAAAGAATGGGGCAAAAAGTCAGAAATTAAGAGCTCTTTTTCAGCTAAAATCTTACTTGAAGAAGAAGAAATAGTAAAACTACCAGTCAATTATCATTAATTGAAAAGAAAAATTATAAAACACAACAATATTAAATTATTCAATAAATCGTAGACCAAAAATAGGACTTCTTGAAGTTACTTTCATTGACTCACAGCCAGCATAAAATCCATTATAAGTAGAAGTATGTTCACAGTAGGAAAACACAATTTTTGAGAGACACGAAAAATGTCCAACGCTTTGTAAAACAAATAATTCACAGACACTTTCTTGTAGGGCTTCGCTGGGGTTGGATTGGTAAGGATGAAGGCTTGTTGAGGGAGTTAAGACACACGGAGAATCACGACATCAACATGTTGGCCAAAAGATATGTCTATGAGAAGGACAATGATCTTGTGCTTCAGTGGATTGCTTCTGGCAAATTTGCCAAATTCACAATTGTAAGGGCTTCAAGACAAAACACTCTTTGGAAACTCTTTCAAAATTATGTGCATTCTTTCAGATTTTATCCAACAATTATCTCACGTCAACTGAAAGTTTTGCAAGTCACGCACGCTATTTGCGACGCATGAAGAATTGCGCCCTAAAATACTATTCTGGGTTGATTATGGAAAAGAAATCGCCGTACAAAAACTTTCTGAGCTACAGAATTGATAGACATTTCGAAGCTGGACTCATAAAACATTGGTTTATGAAGATGAGCACACAATTCGGCAATAGTTACATGTCGTCCTTCTTCGATGACGACTTGATGCGCTTCGGCGAGGCGAAAGGACTCGACTTGGATAATTTGCAAGGAGCTTTCTATCTCTTAATCGTTGGCTTGATTTTGTCACTTGTTGTATTTATTTTGGAAATTTTTAGGAAGATTGCAAGACAATAGAAGTTTGAAAAAAAACCATAAAATTATATTTAAAAAAAAAAGATAATAATTGAATAAATATTAATTGGATATTTGAACTTTAAAAATTCTTTCCCTCAATCACAAGAGCTTAATTGGAATTTCACAGTAGAAAACCACAATTTTTGACAAACACTTAATTTTAATTCTTTATAGAAAATAATTTCTTAAAGATAGAAATAGTTAAAGTTCACATTTCCACTCACTTTTGCTATATTTTAGGAATTCTCTGGGGCGGAATTGGTCAAGATGAAGTCTTGTTGGAGGAGTTGAAACATGTGGAAAATCGTGATCTCAACATGTTGGCCAAGAAATACGACAATGAAGAGGACAATGATGTTATTCTTCAGAGAATTGCTGCTGGAAAATTTGCTAAATTTTCAATCGTAAGCAATTAAATACCAAACAGTGAAATTATCTATCTAATTTTTATTTTCTACCCTCAGATTTTATCCAACAACTTTGTCACAACAACTGAAAGCTTCGCAACTCATGCTCACTATTTGCGACGCATGAAAGATTGCGCCCTTAAATACTATTCCGTGATGATGTTGGAGAAAGATTCGCCTTACAAGACGTTTGTCAGCTACAAAGTGGACAGACACTTCGAAGCTGGATTTGTGAATTATTGGTTTATGAAGATGAACACTCAATACGGCAATAGTTATATGTCGTCCTTCTTCGATGACGACTTGATGCGCTTTGGGGAGGCGAAAGGACTCAAGCTGGAAAACTTGGAGGGAGCTTTCTATCTCATTGCACTTGGATTGTGTCTGGCCATTGTTGTTTTTCTCGTGGAAATTTATGTGCGACGCATAAGAAAATAGAAAGTCACATTCTAATCATGTCTTCAATTGGCGATAAACCCGATAAACCTATTGATTTTATCCTTGCAAATACAAATCATTCAAATTACCTTCCTTTTTAGACACAATGTGGTTCGACAAATCTACTCATCACAACTTGAACTACGAATTCGCAGCATCGGAAAATGAGGATCTCGTGAAATTAATTGACAGATATGTTGTGGAGAAAAATGACACTGAAGCACTTAGAAAGGTTGAATCAGGGAAATTTGGCACTTTCATAAAGGTAAATCGAGCATTTAAAGCCTTTGAAAACATATTGAAAGCCTTCTTTTCTCCATCTTCAAGATCTTGTCGAACAATTTCGTGACTGAAACTGAGAAAATAGGAAATCACACGTACTTTCTGCGACGAATGAAGCAATGTCTCATGAAGTACTACTCAGTGTTGCTCGTGCAGAAGAACTCTCCTTACACTGCCGAACTGAGCAAGAAAGTCGACAGACACTTTGAGGCTGGAATCGTCAGCTTCTGGTACTCAAGGATCAACACTCTTTATGGCAAAAGCTACACAAAGTGGATCTTTAGTGATCATTTGTCAGATTTCGGAGAGGCGAAAAGTCTCAATCTCAGAAACGTGTCAGGAGCTTTTTATCTCCTCGCAATTGGATTGTCTTTGTCGATTTTTGTGTTTGCCTTGGAAATGCGAATAGGAGGAAATAAAAACAGATAGAAAAGCTTGAAAAAATGTCTTTCAGAAATTGAATTTGTCAATTAATTGTCCGCGATATTCGCGCAAGTCAAAAGCTTTCAAAATGCTTCCTTTTCTAACTAAAGCGTTGAAATGATTATTTGAATCTTATAAAATTTGCCTAATATTTTAGGAATCTCATGGTTTGACAGATCCACTTATCACAGTCTTAATGAGGAATTTGCAGCATCGGGAAATGCAGATCTTATCAAATTGATTGATAAATATGTTATAGAGAAAAATGACACTGAATCTCTTCGAAAGGTTGCTTCAGGCAAATTCGGTACTTTTGCACAGGTAATTTCTTTGAAATTACCATCAATAGATTCAAATAAAAGCATTTTCCGCATTCATTTAAGATCTTGTCCAACAATTTTGTCACGAAAACCGACAGATTCGGCGATCACACTTACTTTCTGCGGCGCATGAAGCAATGTCTCATCAACTATTACTCTGTGATGCTTCTGCAGAGGAAATCTCCGTACACAAAGCATGTCAGCTTCCAAGTGGACAGACACTTTGAGGCAGGACTCATAAGTCACTGGTTCACTAAGATAAACACAGTTTATGGCAAGAGTTTCATGTCTTCGGTCTTCATTGATGACACATCGACTTTCGGAGATGCGCAAAGACTCAACTTCAGCAACGTTTCCGGAGCTTTCTATCTCCTATCAATTGGCTTGATTGCCGCTGTTTTTGTGTTTCTTTCAGAGATGAAAAGAAGACGTTAGAATTTTCTTATAAGCTCTGTTGTGTGAAGGAATAAAGATGACTTCAAATTAATGAAGATTTTTATTAATCAACGTTTAAAAACGATTATTAGTTTGTAGAATATTTTATTGATGTATTTGCACTATTTCTTCAAAAGCTTTTGTGTGAAGTACTGAAAATATGTCTCACAATCGTCTTCCAAACTCTTTCATGACTTCTTCATATTTTTTAGGAATGCTTTGGGTTGACAGAAGCGATCATCATAACTTAAACGACGAATTTGCAACTTCAGACAATAAAGATCTCATCAAATTAGTTGATCGATACGTCATAGAGAAAAATGCCACGGAAACTCTCAATAAGATTGCTTCTGGCAAATTTGCCGTTTACGCCCAAGTAAGGAGCTTTTACCCACTGTAAAAGGCTTTAATAAACTACAAATTGTCTTTCTTTCTCTTCAAGATCCTCTCCAACAACTTCGTGACGAGAACCGAGCGATATGGCAACCACACTTACTTGCTGCGACGAATGAAGCGATGCGCTTTAAAGCTCTACTCGGTGATGCTTTTGGAAAAGGATTCGCCATTGACGAAGCAATTGAGTGACAAAGTGGATAGATTTTTCGAGGCTGGCATCATAAGTTACTGGTTCACGAAGATAAACACACTTTATGGCAACACTTTCATGTCTTCGGTCTTCATTGACAACATTTCTCACTTTGGCGATGCAAAAAGTCTCACAATTAGCAATTTGTCTGGAGCTTTTTATCTTCTAATAATCGGATTTGGTTTGTCTTTGCTGGTGTTTCTCATTGAGAAGTTCATATGGTGGAAATATATTTAAATTCTGTTCAATATTTTCCAGCAGATTCACTGCATAAAGTGTATTTTGAAAAATTGTGAATAATTCTATCACGCAAGTGATTCAGAAGTGACATAAATTATTAAGCGACCAGCAAAAGTGCCCGGAATCACGTAAGAGAGCAATTTTTCACGCCACAGTTGCACAATTCCGTCGAGAGTGAACAATGGCGGGAAGAGTGTTTGCATTCCTCCTCCTCGCAGGACTTCTGCACATCCTCAGGGTCTCAGGAGATTCCACAGAGTGTCGCTTGTGCGAGAGTTTGCTGACCGATTCCGATCATTGCACGTTTCTCCTGGACGAATCCACCGAGAATCCGCCCTGGAATTGTCCTCTTGTCTTTCCCTGTGGCAAAATCATCGCCATAAACTACACATTCATTGCAAACTTTAACGCCCTCAATCTTCAGAGAGTGAACAAGTGCTTCAAATTTATTATAGCGACACAGAATTTCTCAAGATACAGCGACTTCTTCAGCGGATCTGACAAATTTGTTCCCTACACAAAAATTATTCTCCTCGAGAGTGGCACTGAAGAGGCCTTTAATTTCACAGCAGCGCAAATTAATCACATGTATATTAATGCTTTGCATGTCTTGCAGGTAAGAAAAGTGTAACATTTCACCCATAAAGTTCACCTCATTAATCATAAGCATTCAAAGAAATCTGTAGCAATTTATTAGGCAAACTGAATTGTTATGTTGAATCTTGATAAGAATGCATTTGAAAGCACGCAAATAAAATTTCATAACATGAATTGCATCTAATTAAAAATTAGACTTTACAATAATAATGCGAATGAAATGTTTCGAAAATTTACTTTTCTAGGTTTATCAAAGCCCTCTGAAAATTACGATTATGAATATCTTAACGAGAGAAATTGCGATGGGAAATCGTGAGAATTTTCCAAACATTAGCCGAGTTTTGAATGAAAATCATCTTCATCCACTCATGGACAATGCTTTCTCTCAGAACGAAATAAACGTGAGTCTCTTTCACTGTCCGCCTTTTGTTGTTGACAAAGAACCAGATAATATTGACAGGAATTCAACGTTAAACCTCAAAAGGTAAGAAGTTTTGTAACATAACAAATTCATCATTGATACGATTGATACACTTGTTGATACATGAAGGAAATTGCAGATTTGACGGTGTTGAGTTTCGTCTTATGACTTACATTACCAATCGCTGGAAACGAAGGATCTTCGTTAGGAATCCAACGCCAGACACTGGAGATTCCTGGGACGAGATTCTTATGGACTTGACACAACAGAGATCGCAAGTCGCAATGTGTGCACTGTGGCTCATTGAGAAGACGGACACAAACTTTGATTTGTCCTGGCCTTATGAACAACAGTGCATAACACTTCTTGTGCCGCGCGGTCGACGAATTCCGCGCAATCGTTACATCTATCTGGCGATGAATGAGCGAGTCTGGACTCTCTATCTCATCCTCACGCTCTTCATCTGCTTGCTGGTCTACTTCCTGATCACCTTCAACACGAACAACAGCCTCGCGCTGCAGTTCAATCTGCTGATCGAATCCACGATGAAAGTTCTCTCGATCGCCACTCAGCACGGCGTCACGCGCTTCCCCAGAAGATTCTCAGCAAAAATCCTCCTGATCTCCTGGTTCTTCTTCTGCCTCCTCATCACAGCCATCTACTCCACCGGCCTCACGTCCATCCTCACCACTTCACTCTTCCACAAGCCCATCGACAGAGTCAGGCATGTGATCAACAAGCAATTGAAGTGGGGCGACACTTTCGGTACTTATCTTCATGCAGAACTTCTCAAGTCCGGCAGTCCTCAGTATGCAAACCTAGCCGATCTCCTAATAGATCCTGACTCTGAGGAGACAGAACAACTCATCGAAGCTCGCAAATACGCTCAAGTAGTCGCAGTAAGTTCTAAATAACACCATTGCAGAGGGGATGAAAAGCCCAGAAAATCACCATTTTCCAGGTTCTCTCCACAAAATTCATTGTGGGCGCAGATCGCTTCGAGAACATCTCAGCGAGATATCGCTTGATGGACAGCTGCATTTACAAATTCTACACTGTCTTCGCTTTCCAGAAGAACTCTCCCTACGCGCCCTTCTTCAGCCAAGAAGTCTCGAAGTGCGTGGAATCCGGATTGATTCACTACTGGATGAAGTTGGCGAATGTTCAGTTCGGAAAGCGCTACACTTACTCGTTTTTCGTGAAGACGAAAGACATTTACAGCGGTCCGCACACCTTCACCGTGGACAATCTCTCCACGGGCCTGTACATTTGGGCAATTGGTCTGTTTCTGGCCACTGTGGTGTTCCTGATTGAATTGTGGCTGCATTGGCAGAAGAAATTGGAAATTCCCCGCATTCTGAGAGAGAATTGATGGGGGAAAATTTCATGAAATTTAATGCTTCTACGCCGTGCTGTGTGTTAAATCATGCTGTGATGGAGAGTTGACATTAATTATTTAGTACCTGTAGAGCTGGAAAGTGCTCGGAATCACGTAAGAGAGCAATTTTTCACGCCACAGTTGCACAATTCCGTCGAGAGTGAACAATGGCGGGAAGAGTGTTTGCATTCTTCCTCCTCGCAGGACTTCTGCACATCCTGAGCGTCTCAGGAGAATCCACAGAGTGTCGCTTGTGCGAGAGTTTGCTGACCGATTCCGATCATTGCACGTTTCTCCTGGACGAATCCACCGAGAATCCGCCCTGGAATTGTCCTCTTGTCTTTCCCTGTGGCAAAATCATCGCCATAAACTACACTTTCCTCATGAATTACAGAGCCATTCGTCTGCAGAGAGTGATTAAGTGCTACAAATTCATCATAGCCACGCAAAATTTCTCAAGATACACAGATTTCTTCTGGGGACATGAGAAATTCGCTCCTTATTCCAAAATTATTCTCCTCGAAAGTGGCACTGAAGAGCCCTTTAATTTCACAGCTGCGCAAATTAAGTACATTTATTTGAATGCTTTGCATGTCCTGCAGGTCAGTAGACTAAAGCTACTGTCAATGCATGAGCAGAACTGATTTCTAATCATCAATTTCAGGTCTATCAGAGTCCATTGCAAATCTCTCTCCGCAACATTCTCACAGGAATCGAGGTAGTGGGAAATCGTGAAAATATTCCCAACATCTACAAAGTCCTGAAGCGCCATCATTTGCACCCATTGATAGACAATGAATTCTCTCAGAATGAAATAAACATCAGCTTATTCCATTGCCCACCGTTTGTTGTGGATAAACATCCCACCAAAGCAGAGATAACGCTGGACTCTAAGAGGTATTTCGTCATAATTATCCAATTCAATAGGAAGCTTGGCAATGATTTCTCATCAAAAATCACTTGCAGATTCGATGGAATTGAGTATCGTCTTCTGGCTCACATCACCAGACGCTGGAAGCGGCGGTTTATCGTGAGAAATGCTACAGACGCCGGAGATCCATGGTTGGATGTTCTCATGGACGCTCTGGAGAGGCGAACAAATGTGGCCCTTTGCGGCATTTGGTTAATTGATGAGGTGCAGAGTATGTTGGAAGTATCCAGACCTTACGGTGAACAATGCCTCTCCTTTCTCGTGCCGCGACTGAAGCCCGTTCCACGCGATCGTTACATCTATCTGGCGATGAATGAGCGAGTCTGGACTCTCTATCTCGTCCTCACGCTCTTCATCTGCTTGCTGGTCTACTTCCTGATCACCTTCAACACGAACAACAGCCTCGCGCTGCAGTTCAACCTGCTGATCGAATCCACGATGGAAGTTCTCTCGATCGCCACTCAGCACGGCGTCACGCGCTTCCCCAGAAGATTCTCAGCAAAAATCCTCCTGATCGCCTGGTTCTTCTTCTGCCTCCTCATCACGGCCATCTACTCCACCGGCCTCACTTCCATCCTCACCACTTCACTCTTCCGCAGACCCATTCAGAGCGTGCAGGATATTCTGGACATCAATATGAAGTGGGGCGATGTTACTGATCACTTTATGGAGGAAATGCAGAGATCTGGCAATGCGGAATACATTAAACTCGCTGACCTCAAGATTGACGCCCGATCAGAAGAAGCAGACAAACTCATAAAGGAGCATCGATACGCTCATTCAGTGTCAGTAAGTCCTCCATTTCCAGTAAACTTATCACTCAATTGAATTCAATGAACGTTTCAGTTGAAACATACGCTTCACTGGAATTGTTTTTCGCGTTCCAAACTGCCAAATTGTCGCTGTAAAAAGAAATCTGTCTCGAAAATCAATAATGGAGAAGGCTATGTTCCTCAATGAGGCATAGAGAGATTCAGGTTCTTCTTTCCTTTCTTCTTGATCCCAAAAACATTTTTTTCCCAGGTCTTGTGGCGAAAATACATCGCTGGCTTACACACCTTTACGAACTTCTCCGACTACGCATCAAGTTATCGCGTGATGGACGATTGCATATACAAATTCAACACTGTTTTCGCCTTCGAGAAGAACTCTCCGTACGCCAAGCTCTTCACCCGGGAGATTCCCAAGTACATCGAGTCCGGATTGCTTATGCACTGGTTCAACTTGTACGCCGTTCGCCACGGCGATCGCGCCATGCACTCCCTGTTCCTGCAGACGAAAGACACAATGCGCGGTCCGCACACTTTCACCGTGGACAACCTGACAATCGCGCTCTACATCTGGGCCGTCGGCCTAGCACTCGCAACAATTGCATTCATTGTGGAATTGTCATATCAAAAAGTCTCACGCATGGTGAAAAACGAGGATTCTTCGTTTTATTATGTAAGAAGACGCGCAACGGCTAATTAAATTGATCATTACCTAATCTCTTAGAGGTTCACACACCGCACATCATCGACATTCCTCACCGAACGCCTATTTGTCAGCGATGTGAAGAGCTTTCGCCTGGCAATCACCACACGCCGATTGAATTTGTCCAGCATCTCGGCATTCTGCACAGGACGCGCCGGAATGGACACCGTTTGTGACGCCTTGCGCGGCAACAGCACCGGCCGACAGCCGGCAAAGCGGAATCCAATGCGCGGCGGACCACGCTTCAACTCGCGCCGCTCGAAGCACTCCTCCTCTTCGACGCCCCAGCGCAGAGATTGTCGTCGCGAGCACGTCTTCAGCGCCACTTTGGACACTATTTTATACTTAATGTGTGACTCAGTCGCTGATTTTATGGCAATTTTATGGAGTTTCTCTGCAAAACAGCAAATGCCAATTATTATCACATGCAAAACTAAACAGTAAAAGGCTTTCCGATACGCACTTGTGTTGTAAATCATGAAGGGAAGAAGAGAGTCGCCACAGAGTGAGTAGAGTAAATCGTACAAGTAACTATCACCATGTCCACAGATATAAACAGCAGCAACCTGAAAGGGAAAACATTAATTGACTTGATTTTAGAGAAAAATTGCATGCAAAACTCACGTTGAACTCCTGAAGAACCCATTCTGGCGTCGCTGATGGATCAATTCGCTCCAAATAGACGGAAAACTCCCGGAAGGGATTCTCACCGAGCGCCCACATGGCGCGAAACACCCTCACGAGCCACTCAAACTCCCAATGCAGCTGCAAACTGTCGCGCGCGAAGAACTCCTTCAGTCGCGACCGGATGAGATTGCAGCAGCGACGCTCAGCCAGACCCCAGAAGCTGCCCAGACGCCCCAGACACTCGCACACCAGCTCCACACACTCAAAATCACACATCTGCGTCGATATCACGCCACACTCGTCCTCGCGCCAGAAAACACTCTCTGAGTGATTGTCCATCGTCTTCACGTCCTCCTCCGCCGCCGCCGCCGCCACGGCCGCCGGCTCTGGCTGCTGTGCGGCGGCAGAGCTATTCTCCTCCTGCTTGAAACACATCTGATTCTGTGACGCTTCGCAGTAATCCATCGTCTCAGCACTGCCGTTGTACTGATCGAAAGTGTCCATCAATTCCGACTTAATCCTAACGATATTGCTCTGCTGATCCACGCCACTCACGCCGCCGCCGCCGTCCGCCTTCATCTCCAGCCCATTGTTCTCCATCATGATGAAGAACGTCTCGCACTCATTCTTGATGTCCGTGATGTCGATGCCGTTGTACATGGAGAGATCGGGATTCGCCTGGAAGTCCGACGTGGGCGCAACTTCAGCCGCAAAGCCACCGCCGCCGCCGCCGGTGCCCTGATTGGCCGGCCCGAGGAGAAGACACACCAGAATTTGGCACAAGTAGTACATCTGCAAGGAAACATCATGATAAATCGACTTTTCATGATTTTCTTAAGCCTTTTTCACTCACATCTGAGTTGATTTCCGCATTCCTGGCGAAGGGATTGCGCGTGAGTGTGATCAGCAGCTCCATGGCGCGCCTGAGTGTGTCCGTCTTGTACTCAAAGCTGAGCAATTCCGTGCACTTGTTGAGCAGCAGATTCACGATGCATCCCATGAACGGATTCATGGCCACAGTTTGCATTGCTCGATTGAAAGTCAACTCGTCGCCCAGGAAAACCGCTGCAAAGACGCAAAATGTCAGCAAATATTGAGAATTGGCTTAAAATCTCAGCTTTACCATCGCACAAGTGATCCATAAAGTCCAGCAAATGCTCCGACATTGTCTCTTCCGCGAGCCACGAAGCGCTAACATCAACTCGACTCGTGGTCACTTGAACGTCCCTTAAGTACTCCTCCCGCAGATCAACTATCCTGTCCTGGAAGGGAAGGAGAAGAGCTTAAGAAGCTGTTTCAGGGGGCGAAATAAGCGTCATTTACGCACTTTGTTGAAGTGAAACACGCCGTCGTACTCGATCGTGTCCCATTCGGAAGATCCTGCGCCCAAAATGGGGCAAACATTGGCATCCTTGAGAGCCTCATTCACCAAATCCACCGTGACTCTGCCGTCCGAGTGGCGCGCGTAGGTCTTGAGAGTCTTGCAAAGGAAAGGAAAGAAAGCGAAATTAGTCAGCGAAATGCCACGATTTCCCGTGGAGACTCACATTTGCCAATTCCCAGAGCTTGTAGGTGACATCCTCAGCTACACGGGAGCACGCCTCATTGGACACATCTGTCTCCTGCTTCTCGTGCTGCTCCCAATAGCACTTCACGGACTTTGTGCTGATTCCAGCGTAATTCTTGTAGCGACTCTGCCGAACGGGAAAACCACCCACAATTAGCTCCACCTCTTCACAATCACCCACCCACTCACACACCTTCTCCGATGTGGACGGCGTGGGCTCCAGGGATGCCGAAGAGTGGCCAGGATTTTGTGAGGATTTCTTGCTTTTGCTGCGCGACGCCACGGATGATTTCTTGTGAGATCCACTGGATTTTGAGGCGGACGCCTCGGCGCTACTGAAGGACTTCATCTCAGCACGCCCACAGCAATCCAGACACGGTGAAAATACTTATCCCCTTCCCATTCCTGGCCGGAAGAAAATCACCTGCCCCACACCTAACCTCAAAATACCATCGGGATCTTTGACCTCAATTTTCACAGGATTCTCCACAGCCAATCGACGCAGTGTGTGTGGGAATTCACGCAGGGGTCACGAATGGAGCATTTTTCACCACGATTGCCCAAATTTGTGCGGTTTTTCCGGCAATAGAGAGCTCAAAAGCCTAAGGAAACTCCACAAACAAAATTCACTGGCGAAAAATCCTGACAGATGTCGCCATGGCGCGATGAGGGCCGAAAGTTCAGCGGCGGATCAAAACATCAAAACAATCGACCGCGGCTGGCGGCTAAAATTATTATTTATTTATCGCCGTTGGAATAATCCCAAAATTCTTCAAATTTGCGGATTTTCATTCTTCTTGCAGGAATTTTAAAAAATTGCGAGGTGACATGACAAAATCAAACACAAATTATACTTCTTTTGCTTCGCCTCTTCGACTCTCACTCGCCAGTGGCGCCGCCACTGAAATGACAGCGAAAAAGTGTGTGCAATGCGGGCGTTTTTCTCGATATTTTCCTGGAAATGAGCGACAAAACCATCCAAAATCCCCTCTGTTGCTGTGAATACATCGACCGTGATAATGAGCGCAACCACATTCTAGGCTGCTGCTGCAATTGCGTGGATCTGGATCAGGCGGCTGACAGGTTAAGTGTCCGGAGAGGTTTTCTATGTATTTTCTGCTAATTTTCCACACTTTCCGGACAGACTCTTCCGGTGTCAATCCGTCACGCAGTCCCAGAAGACAAACATGCTGCTGACGCTGCAGGATCGCATCCGGGCGCCGTGGTTTGGGGGCGCCAAGCGAGTTGCCACGGTGGACGTGATTCCCATTCTCGTCCTGCCGGCGATGCTGTACACCGCCGCCATCAGCCTGTACTGCTCCGTGGTGATCTTCCTGGCCATGGCAGCCTTCCTGTTCTACATGTACTTCCACCTGCGACGCACGGCGCCGAGGTGAGACGACGAGAATGATGTCCTCGATTGGAATATTGATTTTCTCTCATTCGCAGGTCGAAGTTCTTTTTCCTCTGGACAATCTGGTCCATTCTCTTCCTGTGGATCCTGTTTGAGTCCACAGTGCCGATGCTTGAGCTCCTGCCGGAGGAGAATGTGGCCTTTCTGCTCCTTCTGTCCATTTCACTCTTCTTTCTCTACAAAGTGAGTTTTCTACTGCTTTTTCTGGGTCAAAATCCGTGAATCTCTGTTGTTTTTCTCCTCTGCAGACCAAACAATTCTCACAGAGTTGCCAGGCTGGCGCTCACAGTGCCGCCCATGATGCCACAGATGAGGATTCGGCGGCTCTGCTGACGCACGACGAGCCGGAGGACGCGGAATTGGGCAGCAATGTTTGCCAGCTGTGCCGGAAGCGCGTGCCGCAGCGGACGTTCCACTGCACGCCGTGCCAGACGTGCGTGGTGCGCCAGGATCACCACAATGTGTGGCTGGACTGCTGCATCGGCGCCTCCAATCATCGCTACTACCTTCTGGGCTGCGTTCTGGGCCTGCTGACGCTCCTGTTCGGCGCCAATCTCTCACTCACGTCCATCTGCCATCCCTTCCTCATCGCCAACGTGCTGGGCGTGCACGTGCTCATGCCGGACGACTGCACGGATGTGTACGATCAGTACGACATCGCCGTGTGCTTCGTGGGCAGCGTTTACGCGCTCGCCATGGCCACTTGCATGGCGCTGGCGCTGCTGCAGCAGATCTTCTTCATCTCGCGCGGCGTCACGGGCACGGAGTGGCGCCGCGGCGAGCTCAGCGGCCAGCGGCGGCACTGCTGCACAAACTGGCGCAACTTCCTGTGCGGCAAGTAACTCACCATTTACGCTTAGAAAAGGTGGAAAGAAGGGCGGTTTTCTAGATATTCTCTAGCGCGGCTCATTAGCACGTCTAATGGCACACACACAGTGATAGAAGAGAGTTTGCTCAAGAGATTCTAATCAAAAACGCACCATTAAATCAATGGAATATTTCAATGGACAAAGCGAGCAAATTCCAGGAAGAAATGAACCAAAAAAAGTTAAGCTTTCTGTGCTTTTGGCGGGTCGAAATGCACAGATATGTATTTCTAGAGACTTTAGAATAGAATTATTTAGTCAATTGATGAATTTTATGTACCATGAAAAAGAGGGTTTTTTGCACAAAAAAACCCCAAAAGTTTGAATTTCTACGAAAGTTTCTTCATTCTGTCGAGATTCTTAAGCAATGCGCGCGCAGACTTAAACACATTTTTTAGAGACGGAATGTGTTGCAAAAGTATTTATTGTATGGAAGAAGAAGAAAAAAACTACACACAATTTCAATAATCACGCCGAGTAATTTAGAGAGAAAAAGTCCTTAAAGAGCATTTACAGCGTTTCCAGAATAAAGAAAAAATCACACCATAGAAAGTCTGTGACTTTTTTCCTCAACCGTCCAATGTTGGCGCATAATCGGGCAGCAATTCCCAGATCTTGTGGCGCCAGCGCTGCCGCCGGGCCTCGGTCTCCTTCTCCAGGCGCAGGATCGCGTGCAGACGCTGCCAGTGCTCGATGGAGCGCCACTTGAGGTGCCAATTGTAGTGCGCCTCGGCGTGTCTCATCTTCGTCTCCAGCACGATCTTCTCCTGGCGCGTGCGCGCCACCCACAAACCGAAGAATCTCTCATTCAGGCGCATCTCGTACCAATCCACAGCCACCAACAGCTTTCCCTTCTCCATCAAGTGACTCGCCTTCCACAGTCGCACAGCCTGTCGCAAGACGAAAGTCCCGTGAAATGCCTCGGATTTGCGATGCTTCGCGTCCCAGATGGACTTTGTGTGTCCTCGCCAGCGTCTGAAGCAGATGCGCATGCGCAGCACGCGCCGGAAGTGACTGGCTTTCGCCTCGAAGCGTCTCTTGCGCTGCAACATCCGTCGGAACGCCGTCAGGCCGAAGTGGAGCAAGTGTCGGCAGTAGAACTCATTGGCACGCTTGCAGTTCTGCAGCCACACTTGGCGCTCCTGCTCGCGACGCAGCTTCTCCTGCTTCTCCCGGCGGCGCTTCTCCTTCAGCTCCTGCATGCGCACCCTCTTGGCCTCCTCATCTTCACGCCGTTTCTCCTCTTCTTGGGCATTCTTCTGCTCCTCGCGGTCGCGCTCCAGCTGCCGCCGGCGCTCCTTGGCACGCTCATGACGCATTGTGCGCTCCAGCGCGCGCTCCTGCATCTGGGCGAGGAACGGCGGAATGACACTGCCATAGGCAGCCAGCTTGTTCTCATCCTCCTCGTCGCGCAGATTGCTGACAATCTGCAGACACTTGGCTTTGGCGCGCACGCGAATGTCTCCCGTCTTGGCGACTTGCTTCAACTCATTCTTCAGCTCCTGCTTGAAGCTGCGCGCCTCCTCGGACAGCTTCGACAGCCTCAGCTCGGCAATCATCCTCTCCTGACGCTCCAGCTTCAGCTTCTGGTACTCAATGATGTCCTGCTGAATCTTGAGTCTGCAAGGAAAGTTGTTCAGAGAAAGAACTTCACCAGACAATTCATTGATACTCACTTGCTGCGGTATTTCTTGGTCAGGATGATGGATTCCTCCTTGGGAACGGACTTCTTCTCCCCTTCAGCTTCAGCATTTTCCTCCTTCTTCCTCACTCGACGCTTCTCTTCCCTGATCTTGCTCAGATAAGCGTCGATTTTGCCAATTCTGTCAGTCGACGAGATGCTCTTGCACTTGCTGACCTTCTCAACGGTTGTGTAGTGAAGCCACTTGAGGAAGTACTTCCGCAAGAGGATCTCCTTGAAGTCATTGTACGCTTCTGAGTGTTCCCGGAACAATTCACTGATGATTTTGATCTTTTCCGGTGAAATTTCCCCTCTTCCTTCAACTTTTGGCTCGTCTGCTTCCGTCTCAGATCGCTTTCCTGGCAGCAATTGTCGAATCATGAGTTCCTCATTGGGATTCTTCTCACTCTCTGACTCCTGAGATGCCGCTTTGATGGCTTGCTCCAGGAAACTGGCTTCCAACTCATCTTCCTGGTTGAATATCGTGGAACTCTCTGTGCTGCCGTGCGCTGTGGAGCTTCCACTCTCGCTCTCCTGACTCGGCGACGATGTGATGCCGTGGAATGTGAAGAAGGACTTGACGGTCGTCGTGGTTTCCTCACAGTAGGAAATCATCTGACGCTCCTCACGGAGACCGAAGTAAGTCTCCTCATCCAGAGGACTCTCCACAGCCTCATCCCTCACCTCTGCCACTTCTTGCGGATACGTGATGATTTCCACGCTGTCCTCGAACTGAACGGAGGGAATTTTCTGCTCAACTTTGACCACATCGAAGATTTTCGCACTCTCAATTGGCGCCTCGATCATTTTCCTGTAGAAATCATTGGTTTTCTCCTCTGTGGTTGACAGACTGGTGAAAATCTCCCCATTGTCCAGGAGACAGTAAGGATTCTCCGGAATCTTCACTTTCTTCACCTTCGGAGGGTGTTTCTTGGTCATTTCCTGTCGGAATTTAGACAATTCATTCTCAATCATATTGATTTCGATGGTTTTATTGTGACTGGTGATTTTCTCTTGCTGCTCCTCGCGAAATTCCCGAATCTTCGGTGAGGATTCCGTCTCCTTCCTGGCTTTCTTCACCTGGAAAGCAAAAGAAATGAAAAAATGACCTCAAAACCCTTCATTCTCATGAATTACCGCCTCATGTCTCATCTCCATCACCACCACAGGGTCTAGGAAGGACTTCTCCTCGTCCTTCCTCACCAAATCCGCGAGATACTCATCCGTGAAGACATTGAGGAATTTCTTAACGGTCTCCGTCTTGATATTGAGCAGTGAAACGTCATTTTTCCGCCTCAGTCGCTCCCACCGTGACTCCCGAGACTTGGGACGCACGCCACTACCCTTCCTGGAAGCACTCATTGAGGAATGGTGGAGAGAATTTGTCCAGGGATTTTATTTTTCACTGAAAAACGGAGTGAGAAACTCTGGAATCCGTTGCTAGGATATCACAAATAAATCGCCCAAATCGCCTCTCAGCGGTGGCGAGAGCCATCTGCGGGCAATTTTGAGTGAACTGTCATTTGACAGCTGTGAAAAATAAACACTGGAAAAGAGGAGTGAATTTTTGCAATTTGCACGCATTTTGGGGTCACACAAAGATAGTGAAGAGATATAATTCGAGGCTCTGCGAGATGGGGAATCAGCTCGTGGGCATTGCGCCCAGTCAAATCTTCCCTGTGGAGCACTATTTGACGGGAGGTGCTTTCTTCGAGTCAGACTTGGCTTACGAGACGAGGTGATTTTCCTGCCTTTTCCACCCCGAAAGTGGGTGTTTTTCTTACATACTTTACTCTATTTTGCAGCATGGGTAGCACAAGATTCTTCAAAGTGGCCAGGGCGAGATCCGACGAGGGTTTAGTGGTGATAAAAGTGTTTGTCAAGCACGATCCGAGTCTTCCGCTCGAGAGTCACGCTGAGAAGTTGGAGTTTATCAAGAAGAATCTGGCCAACGCCGTCAATTGTCTCCCCTTCCAGAGAGTTGTGGTAATTCCCTAGTCACCAGACAGAGAGAGAGAGAGAGAGAGAGAGAGAGAGAGATTCCCGGAAGTCACTTTTCCCCCTTGCAATTGCAGTTGACGGAAAAGGCTGGTCTGATCATGAGGGAGTTTGTGAAGCACAGCCTGTACGATCGCGTCTCCACGCGTCCCTTTCTCACCACCACGGAGAAGAAGTGGATCACGTTCCAGGTGCTGTGCGCCCTGCATCAGTGCCACAAGCAGAAGATCTGCCACGGCGACATAAAGCTGGAGAACATCCTCATCACGTCGTGGAATTGGATTTTGCTGGCGGATTTCGCCTCCTTCAAGCCCACTTTCCTGCCCGACGACAATCCCGCCGACTACACGTACTTCTTCGACACCAGCCGCCGCCGCACGTGCTACATTGCGCCCGAGCGCTTCATCCAGTCCATCGCGAACGAGGCGCAGCCCAAGGATGGGCCGCTGGTGGGCGACGGGCCGTGCTACTCGGGCAGCTTGACGCCGGAGATGGACATCTTCTCGGCCGGATGCGCTCTGCTAGAGCTGTGGTGCGAAGGCACGGCGCCCTTTGAGTTCTCGCAGCTTCTCTCGTATCGCCAAGGCGATCAGGAGCTGGTGACGAAGCATCTCAATGGGATTGACAATTTGCGCCTGAGGAACTTGATTGCGTCGATGCTGAACAGAAATCCCGCAGAGCGCAAATCCGCCGAGATCTATCTGGATCAGGAGCGTGGCTCTCTCTTCCCCGAGTACTTCTACACTTTCCTCCAGAGCTACATGCAGATGTTCTCCTCCATTCCCATCATGCCGCTGGACGACAAGATCATGCGTCTGCACGCGGACATCAAGCAGATCATCAAGATGCTCACCGGTGTGGATCCGGAGGAGCGCGAGCACGCGGAGAAGGCGCAGCGGATTGACCAGAGGAGTGAAAAGAGCGGAACTGAAGACGATGGACTGATTCTCGTCACGACTGTCGTCACGGCGAACAGCAGAGGACTTCACTATTGCAACTCCAAGCTGTCTTGCATGGAGATTCTGCAGGATTTGGCTGAATACACATCCTCAGAAGTGATTCTGGATCGCATTTTGCCGACAATTGTGAGTAAAGATGCTAAAAATGTCTTTAGTAATTCGTTTTTATCACTCTTTTATTGAATTTCACTCTGTTTATAGTGATTTTCACACATTTTAACATCAAAGACTACAGAAATAATCGTTTTCTCTTCCTCTTCAGCTGTATTTCACGAAGGATTCCACGCCTCGTGTCCGTTCCACGGCCATTGACACTCTGACGGCGTGTCTGCGAATGGTGCGACGATTGCCGCGGAGTGACGGCAATGTGTTCCCCGAGTATGTCTTTCCCATCATCTCTGGCATGGCCACAGACACGGCCAATGGCGTGCGCGTGGCTCTGGCGAGGAATCTGGGCGATTTGGCAGAGACAAGCGTGCGTTTCCTGGAGCAAACGCGTCTCAACAGTCCATCGGAGTATCATCAAGTGCGCTACGACAGAGAGATGACGGTGCTGCATGATATGGTGCAGCTGATGACGTCCAGTCTGCTCACGGATGCGCAGGGAATTGTGAAGCAGACGCTAATTGAGGCGGACATTACGAAATTGTGCATTTTCTTCGGCAAGAACAAGGCTTACGACGTGATTCTGTCGCACATGATCACGTTTCTGAATGACAAGGAGGACAAGCATCTGCGCGGATCCTTCTTCGAGTGCATCGTGGGCGTGGCGGCGTTCGTGGGCTGGACGTGCTCGGAGATCCTGATGCCGCTGCTGCAGCAGGGATTGACGGACACGGAGGAGATGGTGATTGCCAAGGCCATCAGGGCGATGTCGGCGCTGGCGGAGTTGGGATTGGTGGAGAAGCCGGCGCTGGTGGCGTTCATCACCGAGGCGGCGTGCTACATGAATCATCCCAATGGATGGATCAGACATGAGATCTGCGGATTGATCGCCACGGCGACCAGAACACTCACAACACTCGATGTGCAGTGCAAGATTGTGCCGGCGATTGCGGACAATCTCACCACGTCGCTGATTCTCATTGATCACACGGAGATTCTCATGGATTGCCTTCAGCCGCCAATTCCGCGTCCGGTGTTTGACAGTGTGGTGAAGTTTCCCGATGTTGTGCACTTCTTCCGGGCGCTGGAGGAGCGTCGTGAGGCGCGCGTGAGAGTGGCTGATGGACTGTTGCCGCAGTACGGCGGAGAGTCAGGCACGGCGATTAGAAACCTGTTCAGGCGTCTCAGCGCCGAGGGATTGACGGAATTGGCGGAGAATCAGTTGCTGGCCATGAAGAGTCACATTGTGAAGTTGAACAAATACAAGGCGGCAGAGCCGAAGAGTCTCGCTGATGGACGGATGAGTTTCTCCAGGAAGATGGGCGTGACGCATGAAGTGCAGCTGCTGGAGAAGACACACAAGGTGGACGTGAATGCGGCCAGGAAGTCTCGCAAGGTTGACGTGGACATGACGATGAATTCGGAGTGGCAACACATGTTTGGCGTGCTGGACATCAATTCTGTCACGCCATCGTCGCCGTCAAATGAGTCTGGAACGTCTGGAGGAGCGGGAAATAGTCCGCCGATGGTGAATACTCAAGTTCAGCCAACGCCAACGTCATCGCTGGTGGAGTACAGCATGCCGGAGAGGAGTTTCCTGCAGGAGCGCTTCTCGGAGTGTCGCCTGGACTTGGAGTCGCTGCAGTCGAAGATGAAGACGGAGCATTCAGTGATGGCGCTGAACAGGGATTACGATCCCTTCGCCTACTACGCGCCCATTCCGCCCAATTGGCGCCTCAAGGGGACGCTGGTGGCGCATCTGCACGAGCACAGGAGAGCCGTGACGCGTCTCAGTCCGCTGAAGACCTTCGGATCGTACTTCGCGTCCACGTCGGTGGACGGAACGGTGCGCTTGTGGGATTGCAACAAGCTGGACGGCCATCAGTCGATCAACAGATCGCGTCAGGCGTATTCGGCCAACACGCCGCTCTACTGCTTGGCGTCCTGCGACGCCGGACAGTCGCTGGCGGTGGCCGGGAAGGATGGAACGCTTCTGCTGCTGCGCATCGATCCCAATTCCAGCAAGATGGCGCTGCAGCAGGCGGTGCAGTTCGATCCGGATCCGAAGTACGACAAGGCGAACATCGAGGCGAGCGACGGGCCGGTGGTGGACATGCAGCCGCTGGATCAGGGCGCGCAGAGCCTGATCGTCTACGCCACGCTGTACGGCGGCATCGTGGGCTGGGACATCCGGGCGCCGGGATACGCTTGGCGTTTGCAGAGTGATCTCAAGAATGGCGTCATCACGACGCTGTGCGTGGATCCGACCAGCTCGTGGCTGGCCGTGGGCACCAGCGGCGGCAGGCACTCCTTCTGGGATTTGCGCTTCAAGCTGCCCATCGCCGAGATCAGACATCCGCACGATGCGCGGATCAGGCGGATTGCCTGTCATCCCACTGAGAGATCGTCGATCATCTCGGCGTCGCAGGGCAACAATGAGGTTTACATGTACAACATCGAGACGAATCACAGGCAAATGGCTCTGTGGACCAGCTCAGCGCCGCCGCTCTCCAACACCAATCCCTCCAATCATTCCGCCATCGCGCTGCTGCCCGGCATCTCGGACAGATCGGAGTTCCTGCTCACGGCGGGAACAGATCAGAGGATCAGACACTGGGACTTGAGGGATCACACCAACTGCTGTCTGGTCGTGCCGTCGCCCAAGGATCACTTGTCGGCGGCCAACACGTCGTACGAGTGAGTATCGAAGAGTTTTCCACTCTAATTTGTCTTAATTTGAAATTAAGATATATTTTCGAGCTTCCTAAATCACTCATTAAGCCTTTTGCCGGTCCAAACTATATTGAAAAATGCAAGTTTGTGAGTCTCAAAAGCGTGTTTTATCTTGAAATTGAGATAATTCTTTCATTTTGTGTTGATTTCTATAATATTAAGAAATTATGTTTATTGTTTATTCTTAATTTAAACTGTTTTCGTGGGTTAATTTGCGCTTTGAATCACGATAAAAGCCATCATTTGTTAAATTTCGATACAATTTCATAGCAAAAAGCTTCAAGATTGTCTCTAAAAGCACCGGAAGTTGTCCGGAAGTAGAATTACATGATTTTTGGCACACAAATCATTAGAATTTTGCCATAGAATATTTAATTGCATCCTGAGAAACATTTAATCACAACATTTGCAGTGAATTGAAGTGCGAAAAGCTCTTCAAAATTGTCTTGACTAACTTTTGAGGCAACAAAATGGGAATTTTGAGCTGCCAAGAGGATAATTTTCACTCTTAAACCCTTTCTTGGGCTGTTTTTCTTCCCTTTTGGCGCTAATTCTCTGCTTTTCTAACTCTGTGACTTTTCCTATAGATATCGCCTGATCGACGGCACGAAGGTGATTCAGGAGATCGACACGCGCACGCAATCCACGCTGTCGACGGCCGCTGGCGCCGCGGCGCGCAACAACAGCGAAGAAGTGCCGCGCTCGGGCCCCGAACCGCCCGCCTCGGGTCACATTGACATCATCACGGATCTGGTGCTGTGCAAGTCCACCAAGCAGACTTTCGTGGCGTCCTCGAGTCGCGACGGCGCCATTAAGATATGGAAGTGAGGATGGACTGACTTTATTCACAAAACTCAACGCGCTTAAAGGCTACAAAAATATCTTACATGCTAACTTTTTGAGACTCTGTGCTGAAGCGGCGGCTTTGCTCGCGTTCCGGTGATAAATTTGTCTCGATTCAGATCACTTGTTGCTCTCTTTCTCTGTTGTTGGGGTTTCTCTTAGCCCACGCCGCCGATGAAGGGGCAAAAGGGCAGGGTGTATCTCAGTCTGTCGTTGGCTAGTCCTCTGTTGAGGATCTTGAAGACGCGACAGATGTCTGAGTAGCTGCGACTCTGCTTGGGCGGCGGTGTGAGACTGCGCGGCAGATCTTCCTTGAAGCCCTGCGGAACGTAGAGATAGTAGAAGTCTGCGTAGATTTCGTTGCCCTATGGAGAACGGATTCCACGATCCGAAATCGTCCATGGAATATCTTCCACTTTTCTTCCTATAATAGGAATAAAATCCTCGGAATTCCAAGCTATCCTCCATGGATAAATTCCACTTTATTCCAAGCAAGATACCATGGAATAATTCCATATATATTCCTTTTGGCCATCCATGGATATTAGAATGGAATATTTTCCATGGTGATAAATCCGCGGAATATCCATGGGTTTTCCACGGAATAATTCGCTCTTTGCGCGTCCCCACGCGATTACGTCAGTCTTGTGAAATTCTTCTCATAGGAAAGAACGCGTAAGTATTTTTCTGTACTTTTCAGTACTAAAACGTTAAGTTTTTAATGGTAAACACTCTAAGTTTGGTGATATTTTCAGGAAAAGTGCTGAATGTATGCGATGGAGACGGCACAGGGACCCCACAGTCAGAGAAGACTCGAGGTTTCCGGACAACGTCAAAGTAGGAGAAACAACCAATGTAAGTATGGAATTACCGAAACATAAGAGATATATCCTGTTTTCTATACTGAACATGTCTTTTTTACAGGAAAATAGGATGCGGAAAAGCGGTTACCGGAGGATCTACTTATCCGACAGAGTGGACTCATGACAAGGTAAAAAATGTTCTTCATGTTCTCAAATTCCTATGGCGAAAATCCATGGAACATCCTATAAATAACCATGGAAGATTTCCATGCTAGAAATTCATCCATGGAAAATCCCTCGGAACTCCGTGGATCAGCAAGGAAAATCCTTGGAATTCAGCATGGAAGATTCCATGCTGAATTCCATAGGAATTTAGCTAGGATGATTTTCCATGGATTATTTCCCACATTGCTTCCAAATTTTCCATGGTGACTTTTCCCATATATGGAAGATTTCCATTGCAATTCCATTGGCCAATCCATGGACGATTACAAGGAATACCATGCAAATATACGATCAGTAATTAGTGTATTCTATTTTCCAGCATTTTTCAAACATATCCGGACCGGTGCGAGAAGACATCAAAGAGCATCTCGACATCCGGCGACCACGGTAGCAGTCGTCTAGAAGAGTAGCAGTCCCTGGGAAGCGGCATAGCAGCCACCAATGCAACGCGTCATAAAAATTTGATACACATTTGTAAGCTTGATAGTTAATATTTAATAAATAAAAATCCAAATATAAATGAGTCTTTTTTTGGATATTTTGGGGCGGAGCGCCGGGAATTTCTGGGAGAAATTTCACACATTGGAATTTCCTCCATGGTATTCCTTGTAATCGTCCTTGGATTGGTCAATGGAATCACAATGGAAATCTTCCATATATGGGAAAAGTCACCATGGAAAATTTGGAAGCAATGTGGGAAATAATCCATGGAAAATCATCCTAGCTAAATTCCTATGGAATTCAGCATGGAATCTTCCATGCTGAATCCAAGGATTTTCCTTGTTGATCCACGGAGTTCCGAGGAATTTTCCATGGATGCTATTACGCGGATAGCTTGGAAATCGTCCATGGTTATCCATTGGATATTCCACGGATTTTCGCCATAGGGTGCCGTAGAAATCACGTGACAGAACTATCATAATTTCTGACGAGGAAAACACAATGAATTCGAGAAGAACAACGATAACACTTAACTTTGTCGTGATCATCTTGGCGGACAAAGTTGAACTGAAGAAGTGTGGACAATTTCACTTAAGATTTCACCAGTTTTCTATTTTACTCGTCAATTTATTGGACATCATCTGCGCGTGTAAGGACAGAAAGGAATGACATCCACGATGTTTGGTATCATGGGAAGTCCGGCGGGTCCTTGAAATATGAATACTTCGCAAATGTCTTGGAAAGTTCGCGAGGGAAGCGGTGGAGGCGTGAGTCCTGATGATAAATCCTCAATCACACGGTGAGGAAAGCGAGGAATGAAGATCAGGTAGTGAAAATTCAGGTAAATTTCACCGTAGAGATCACGAGACACTTCCAAAAGAACTTCAAATCTCGCTTCTGATGAGGAAAACAGGGAAAACACGACGAATTTGAAGAAAATAATTATCACACTTGACTTTAATGCGATCATTGCGGATGGCAAAGAAACACTGATGCGCGTGGACAATTTTTAAAGCTCTTTTTTCTTCTTTGGAAGCTCATTTATTGGCAATTTCAAGCATCAGCATTATTAATAGATTTTTCCAAGCGCTTTAAGTATCATAACCTCAAATTTAGGGGCATTTGATCTAAAAAAAAACGCCTTTTTTTATTTGTATTGCCTTGAAAACTGACTGAGAAACAGTTTTTAAGAAATATTTGAAGATTCCAGTGGATATTTTGATGTGATTCAAGTTTCTATCGCTCTTTTGGATACACTTTGGATCATAACCTGAAAAATATCGAGTAAAATCTAGAAGAATCCTTGAAAGAAACTTATTCGGAATCTTTTAAAGGCAAGACTAATTGACAGTGAGCTGAAATTTGCTATTTTAGAGAAGAAAATCAATCAAACAGCTCTTAAATTAGGCAATTTTCTATCCTGAAACAATGTTTTAGAGGTTATGATCAATCTTAAAGCAATTAACAAAGTTTAAAATTGAAATCTCGTGATCCTTTCATTAGATTTCATTATTATTCCGCCAGTAAATGAAAATAATAACATTTAGGCGCAAGAATGAATGATTTTAAAGGTTATTTAGTTGCAAAGTTTGTCTTAAATCATAACATAACCTAGAAAAATGTAAAGAATAATTCTTTCTCTCTCATTATTGCGTAAATTTCTCTTGAAAGTTATTGAAACGATTGAAAAACTTCCAAATACTTCTACTTAGCTTTACACAATTTCTCCTCCTTGGAAAATGCATCAAATCTTGCTCTCAAGTCTAAATCAATTGCGTTTCCGTGCTCAAATCTTTCTCTGGAGATTTCACAACAGGAACTGACGAAGAACTTTTCAATCTCGCGCTCGCCAAGGCGCGATCTTGAACGCGACAATTTCAACTGATTCGGCGGAAAAATAAAAACAAACTCTTGCTGGGGTAAAATGGGTGAAGGGCGCGGGATTTATTCATCTCTTCCTCCGTCTTTTTTATTGTTTACGCCATTTTTTTACTGCTCATGTTGTTAATCGAGCTGAATCATATTTTGTCGCTCAGCACGTGTCATAAATCACAGCAGAAATCCCCGGTTTTTTGGTGTGATTCTTGTGTGTTTCTGCAGAAAACGCTGTGAATTCTAATTCGAGAACGTGATTCTTTTGCCTGAAGAGCGCGTCTCTCTGGAAAGAAGAGAGAAAAGCCCGCGCGCGCGAGTGTCTGGAAAAGCGCGGCGCGGGCTTCCTATAATCGCGCAAAAGTGTGAGCAAGTTCATGATTGCGCCGCGAGACAAGGTCAGGATGTGAGTCGGTTAAAAGCGCACAAGCGAGCTCCACTGGCCGGCATTGCGAGCGACTCACTGAAGTGGTGCAGATGCGATCCGAGCGCAGCTGATCTCTGATTTTGCAATTTGTGTGCGTCTGTGAAGTGAAGAGAGCGAAAGTGCGGTAGAAAAATGAGGAATTCCGTGTCAATTTGCGTGTTGATTGCGATCTTCGCGGTGGTTTTGGTGGATGAAGTGGCTGAAGCCAGTCCAGCGCCAATCTTCCTCCCGAAGTTCAGCAGATTCATCTCGGATTACGCCTACGGAGGCGGTTATTATCCTCGCTCTTACGGTAAGTCAACACGAACGGCGAGAGTGTGTTGCAAAAGGGCTTTTTTCCCAATTCACTCTTTCCCAATCGCATTTCTTTCAAAACTGTCGCTTTGAAGAAATCCCACTGACGAAAGTTTGCATAAATGAGATGTGATTATTAATGAACGTAATTGTTGAATTGAAAATTAGAGGATTTTTCGGGTGTTTTAGAAATCAATTACAAAGTGTAACTGATGATTTGAGTGATTTTTGTCCTCAATCAACCCAAAAAAAATCATCACAAATTTGTGTTTATTATGAAAATCGTTGTTTCGTGCTAGTTTTTAACATGCAAATGAAATAATTTACTGGAAAATTGATATTTTTCCAAACTTCCAAGTTAAATAATTTGTAAACACACAAAATTAGTCAATTTTCCGCCGAAAAATCAACGTAAAATTGACTAATTTACTTAAGAATTATAATTTCGTATTTATTCAAAGCTTTAAAATCATCAAAATGTTACAAATTTGTATAGAAAATTAAAATCAATCCAAGATCAAACGAGAATTAATAAGAAAATTGCTCTTTTCTCTCAAGAATCTTATTTTGTGTCTCTCAATAAATGCTTATTTATCTTCGGGAGTTCTTAAAACACTGCAATATTCTTTCAAAAACACTCTAATTAGAAATTACATTGAATATTCGGTAATATCGAGATAGGAAATGGGTTCAAAACCCATTTTTCCGCATCATGATTGAACTTGCGCAGAAAACGTGCATTTTACGAGAATGCGCCAATGCATAACTGGGCAATATAATTTTCAGCCATAAATCAGGTGCAAAAAATCTGAGTCATAAATCTCTAATTGCTATTACATGATCTCTCAATCCGTCCGACACGGATCCATTTCACTTTCGGTCCATTCGGCGGCGCAAGAGAGCCGCGAAGTGTGGTGGAAAAGCAGCGTTTGAGACTCTCTGTGTGATTTTTCAGGCGGATCCTATGGCAGTTCCTACGGAAATTCCTACGGATCCTACGGCCGCCCGTCGTCCGCCGACCGACAGCCGCGCGGCCGCAGCTACACGGA